AAATTAGGATTATATGATCATTGGCAGAAGAGAATGCTTTTCCAGTGCAAAGTTATTATGTAAAATGAAGAAACTGGAGTCAACTCTTACAGTTTGGAGTGGTAGGGTGTTCATCATGGATGTTTCACAATCTTTGGCGACAGTCTTAGTAGCAAGTCTTTTTTCTCCCTCGAAATCCTGGTCTTCTCTCAAGATGGTGATGACTCATATCCTGGATGCTTCCTCTCTCTCTTACCTCCCACCTACCCCTATTGGTAAACCTAATTTTGGGGCCTGGCACATCGATTTTGTGTCAATCACATGTCTGAACCCTTTTGACCAATTGTCACAGGCAGTTACACATGACGTCAGCATGACCATTGATCTTTGCCCAGCTCCACATGAAGATTACATGTGATTCCTTCTGGGACCAAAACATCCTATTTTCACAAACATTGCATTCATGCTAAGGTATGTGGACCTAATAAATCTTTGATGTCAATTCAATAGAACATCATGATTTCGATGATCCCTGTCATCTTTCCTTTGTTTTCATATGCAATTTATGTTTGTGGAAGGCTAATTACTATCATTACATCATATAATAAGTTCCCATTCTACACAGAAAATATGAAATGTGGAATACTAAATAATGTCAGTTTTAAAGGGATCCCAATTTCCAACATAAGCAATACTGTTTTACCCCCAATATAACACTGTGAATAATGTTTCATGAGAACAAAAATCTATTAAAGACTCTTAAACTGTTCAGTCTATTTATAAAAGTTAATTGGTAATTTTCTTTAGATAATCTATAAAACTGATTGGAGCAGTTTCATGGGTATAGAGGCATTGTATATTTTTAACAAAAGTAGGATGTTATATTTTTATATGTAAAGAAGTCAGAACTAATCATAATGAGAATTATGAGGTTGCCATGTTTACTGCTGTCGTGCAATCAGTAGCTGAACAACAACACTAACCACACAAAATCTGTTAGAATTATTGAATGAAGCTCCAGCATTTTCATTCTTAAACTGGACATTTTGAATACATTTTGAAACTAGGATACATACAGCCGTTCACACAGCCAATGATGATCCCTATTGATACTTTGTTTGGAGTTTGGCATTTTATACTGCTTTGTGCATTATGATGTATACTTATGAGATTTCCTGGAAATGTTAGTGTAAGTTACTGTCAGCAGGGTTGGTGCAGAACTGGAACAATTATCAGTGTAAATTCCTTAACTCTTCCAGAAATTCAGGCTGTTGTGATAAAAAGCAACTTTTTCCACAGAACAGACATTATGATGATAAATAGAGTTGTGCATACCTAGAATCGTGCTAGCATCTTATACAGAAAATAGAGAAAATATCTGGGATTGAAAGTAAAGAGTGGAATTGATGAACTCTTCAGTACAGTACTTCAAAATCCAAAGATATATTTAAAACACTTTTCAAATGACATGCTAAACAGAAAGACTTTTATTTTTAAGAAAATTGAGATCTTGAATTGAAACCTGCAAGGTATTTTCATTAGAGTATCTTTAACTTGCATGACTTGAGAAGAGGATAAAAAATAATTTTGTCAGCAAACAGCTGCATTTCATTATTATAATTATGAACCATAGGGAGCTAACTCAATACACGACATGGATTTTAATTATTAGTGGATACATTTCGAAATGTATCTCAGTCCTACAGCTGGTAGGCAGGTTTCCTCTTCCTTTCTATCTGTTTCTTCTTTACTAAAACTATTTTTACTTTAATTTACGTCTCTCAAAATATATTTAGCTCTGTAAGTACACATAATGAATTACAAGTGATGGTTTGTGAGCTGTAGCTGTGGTAGAGATTGTGTTTAGGACAAGTCGTAGAGTAATAGAGTCGTACAGCACAGAAAAGGCCCTTGGCCCATCGAGTCTGCATCGATAATAACTAGCTCTAAAGGTGACCAGAACAACACACAGTACTCCAGCTGTGGCCTAACCAACTCTCTGTGCAATTTCAACATTACCTCTTTTCCCTTATAGTCTGTGCCACAACTGATGAAAGCAAGGGTCCCATATGTCTCCTTAACTATCCTATTCACATCCTCTGCTGACTTCAGGCACCTGTGAATAATTAGTCCAAGATCCCTCTGTTCCTCTTAGCTATCCAATTTCCTGCTCTTCATCAAATACTCCCTCACCCGTTTCTTCTTCCAAAGTACATCACCTTGTACTTATCAGGGTTAAATACCATCTGCTGATCTGACCAACCCATCTATATCTTCCTGAATCCTACAACCATCTTCTTCACTATTAAGCCCAGCAATCTTGGTGTCATTTGCAAACTTGCTTAACAATCCCCCCAGATTTTCATCTATATCACTTGCAACAAACAATTAGGGTCCCAGTACTGATCCTTGCAGTACACTATTGGTCACTAGCCTTCAGTTACTCCAACAACCTTCTACGACTCTGCTTTGTGTCTCATTACTAAGCCAAATTCTGATCTATCTCGCCAAGTTTCCCTGAATTCCATGTGCTTTACCTTCTCAGTCTCCCATGTGGTGCCTTGTAAAAAGCTTTGCTAAAATCCATGTAGACTACAACAACTGAACTTCCCTCATCCACACTTGATCACATTTTTGAAAAATTCTAACACATTTGTTAGGGTTTACCTACTTCTGACTAAGCCAAAACCTAGAGGATCACAAACAACCATGAAATAAGCATGTTCAATCCCTAATATTTCAGCCAGAGGATCTTGTGTTAATTTACTGTCTTTACAAGGTGAGCCAGTGAAAGCACAATTCAGTGATCAAAAGGATTGCTAAATATTTTCTAATCAACCTGTTCAGAGATATCATGACACATCTTTGGAGTAGGTGAGACTTGAACCTAGGTCTCTTGGCTCAGAAATAGGGACACTGGCACTGTGCCACAAGAGCCGCAAACAATTTCCTTTCTATCACACTTTAGTTGAATATTCAGAATACTGAAAGTTATATTTAAATTTTAATTTAAAAACTGTAGTTATTGCTTTTGATGATTGATGTCACACAAAATATAAAATTCATTCATGAACTTCATCACCTGTGCAGATTCTTAAAAGGGTCTGAACAATGGCTCGATGTGTGGCAGAATCAGGTGTCACGTGTGACAAGTGATATCTTGACGTTCAGATCATCTTGCTCCATCTTTTACACTTTTTTCACGTGGTGTGGTGAGAGCTTCATTCAGCAGTGGCCAAATGACAGGCTATTATTGCTTGTTAAATGTCTTCAGAATGCCACCACCCACCTTATTAAATATTCAGACTCCCACCTTACCAAACAAGTTTGATGTTGAGAAAACTTGGCAATAAAGAGAGTGGGTACCTAATGGATTTAACTCATTGCTTGGTCGAAACACCTTCATGTTAGACACTGGGCACCAACATCTCCATAGGCACCAGCCACATGCACCCCACATCCACAGACATTGGCATCTGATATGTACCAGCCTGTAAGAACCCTCATGGCACATCTCTGATTCACTTTCAGATCACTTCTACATTTTATTACTGTATCATGAGCAGTGGCAGCGATCATTATAATGCTGCAGCAAGGACACTGTGCTCTCAGAGACCACACCCAGCTCATGGACTGGACCAGGCTACATTTCTGTGCTGTTTACTTGCTCTCATTGCATTAACTCCTGCTCACAGCATCCGTGCCTTACCATGCTTTGCCTTTTTATAGTTCTAATGAAGGGTCACTGG